TCACGAGAACAGCTTGTCTCCGTGTCGCGTTGTGAATAAATTAGCGGCATTGCTTCCATTTCCTCTATTTTCTTCATTTATCGTCGGTCTTTAAAAAAAACCAACTAAACTAACAGATCTCCACTAACCAAGCGGATGAAGAAGAAGCAATGGCTTAAGGATCGTGCGCACAGTTACAATTACCTTTTACTGCAAAAATCTCGGCTCTCTTCGAACTAGCATCAATGTATGTATGATTTCTACTGAAACACGATTTTGCTTTAATTGGGTTAAAGAAATAAATCTTTTTCGTTGTTCTTGTTGTTGTTATTTATATTTTTTCTTGTTAACTCTTTACACGGTTTCACCTCTAATAGTTTTGCGTGGGTTCAAAGCCATTTACATTGAGGCAAAGGATAACGACGTTTTTTTTCTCAATTGACTGCTTCGATTTATCGGCGACAATAATTTATTTCGTTAAATTAATGAAACGACATTCGGTTTGCCTTTTTCGTCCGTTACAACTGCGCAACAACGGTGACAACAATCGAAACATGTTCGAGGCTTTCCATGGAATTATTCCATTAATCGCAATCAGTCGGCGTTTCTAATTCAATATTGTATAGTTTGCACTTAGTGAACATATTGTTTTTTGCATGATTTATGTACGATTTCTTTTGTCGGTTAATAATTATTTATAATCTATTGTTGTCTCGGTTAGAGTCTAGAGAAATCTTGGAACAATGTGAAATTCTAATTCTTGTTATTGCGGAGACGCAATAAATTGAATGAAGTGTCATTTTAGAACGATAATAATAACATTTATTGCAACAAGCATATTTACATACATAATTAAAAATATGTAATTTCTTAGAATTATTATTCCATTAAAATAATAGTTGTGGGTCCTTCTCGCATTTTCTAGCATAATCAATACAAAGAACGCATTGTTTTATCGGATCAGTCTTTTGATGTTTTGTGTTCTTTTTAAACTTATTTGAAACCTACAATATTAGGTTTATTATTAAAATATAACTTTCCCGAGAAAATTTTAACTTTTGAAAAAAAAAGTCGGGAACACTACTTCTAATGTCATTATTTAGTAATTATTTGATTTTTATTAATAAAATAATTGATAAAACTGTTAAAATTATTAAAAATTAATGAACAAAAATTTAGACGTATGTATAATATAAATATATTATATAAATATAATTAAATCAAATACGTTATTTAAATGAGAATAATACATAATAAAAGAATAAATAATTGTGTGCGTTTATGCGTTGTCATACTCTTAAGTAGTAAATTTAAAATATGCTTAAGAAATAAACTGGATGGACATTATATTTAACAACAGCAAAAGCATGCGCTTTCTAGCAAATTATACCATTAATAGCAATTTGCCGACGTTTCTAATTCAACAATAATCTTTTTTATAGTATCACTAAGAAAATAATTGTCAACACTTATTTCTTGGATTTTCTACTACCTATTAGTTTGTTTCACATATAATTTTACATTTTCTAAACTAGAATTTGCGGAAGTGAAATCTAATATCTCCAATTTTCTTTAAATTGGCAACTGCATTTTTACAAAACTTAAATACACAAAAAAAATTGTTTTATTAAACATTTATAAATTAATTTAAAATAAATTATTCCATATATTGAAATGGAATAATCAACATAAATATTGGTTGAAGTAAAAAGTTCTGAGCTTTTTTCTCTTTATTTTGACGAAGAAATTAACAAAGTTAGAATTTTCTGATTTAGATCAATAGTCTTTTACCATAAAGAAAATTTTGAAAATGCTTGAAAAAGTAATAATCGAGTGCCAGGTCTGGACTATACGCCGGATGCGATATAACTTCTCATCCAAGCTCTTGGAGCTTTTGGCTCGTCTTTAAAGATGTGTATCGCCCGGCGATGTCTTGATGGGACATAACACTCTTCCTATTGGCCAATTTTGGACGCTTCTCATCAAGCGCCTGCACCAATCTGGTTAGTTGTTGATAGTATAGGTCCGAATTGAGTGATTGGCCCTATGAGAGTAGCTCACAGTGGAAGATTCCCTTCCAATCCCACCAAACACACAGCCAAACCTTCTTGGTCATTACTCCGGGCTTGGCGATTGTTTGGGCCAGCTTGCCTATTGTTCTCGTATGTTTTCATCGCCAGTCACCATCCGCTTCAAAAATGGGTCGATTTCATTACGTTTCAGCAAAGAATCACAAGCATCAATTTGCTCCAAAAGGTTTTATTGTGTCAATTCATGTGGTACCCATACATCGAGTTTTTCCTTAGGACCAGCCTTATGGAAATGGTTCCAAACGGTTTTCTGGCTAATCTTCAGTTCCTGGACAATGAAATAAGTGCTCGCATGCCGGTGCTATTCGACAATTTCCATAATTTTAGCAACATTTTTGACGATTCGCCTACCAGAGCATGTTTCATCTTCGACGTCCATATTACCAGAACGGAATCATTGGAACCAACACTTTTCTGTTGCATTCGATACTGTATTGGGTCCATAAACAACACAATTGGCCACCTGCTTCGCTTTTCTCTTTGGTCGTAGTGGTACTGAAGAATGTATCGAATTTTCTTTTACCTCCATTTTGGACCGCTCTAACACACAACTGGATTAACTAAACACAAAACTATCAAATAACTTTTTTTTAAAGCGTTATGTCGCCTTTAAGTCGCATTATATAATGAAAACGTATACATCGTGAGATATGGCTCACTAAAGCCATTTAACGAAAAAGGCTTAGAACTTTTTACTTCACCCAATATTAATAATTAATTTTATCTTATATAAAATATTTTTATAACATTTAATTCAATACCTGCCAGAGTTCTAATGATCAGTTCGGATTCTCTATAGACCGGTTTTAATCTTTTAAAACAAACTAAATAATAATTAGCAAATAAATTGTACAAAATTAGTACACAATATTTTGTATATTTAAATTTTCGTTTTTTTTATACAGTAAAATCTCTTTTTGTATAGTTTATTTGTATTTCTGTACTTATTTCTTGGAATTTATATAATTATAAATCGAGTTATAATTATATTGATTAATTTTAATATTATGTAATTTATTATCTGCAAGATTTTCATTCAAATCTTCATTATAATAATGTTAAAACAAGCACTTAAAAATTAAATTCCAATCTATATGATGAAGACGTTACAAGAACCTCTTTTATTTATAAAGAGATTGAAATATGTAATTTTCAAGATATTTCATTAATCACATTTTTCGATCATTCTAATTCAACATTAACTTTTTTTATAGTTTCATAAATATAAAAATACCCTTTACTTTTTTTGTTTCTAATTATTATATTGCTTCACATGAATCATATTTATAGACTATATTTTGCTCAAGTGAAATCCATTATCCCGAATGATTTTCTATGCTCAATCATGAAATTACATTTTAAGAGGTATGATCAATCATGCGCATGACGTGTATTAGAGTCGTAAATTCAAATTTTACCTAAGAAATAAGTTACAAGGATATTAGATTTAACAATAATAATAATATTTAGTGTTTTTTTCTATGGTGATTTATAATAATCTGAGGTTACCTAATAAAAACTTTTATATCAAAAGCCATTAATCTCAATTATCGAAGTTTCTAATTCAATAATATGTAATTTTCATTTAATAAAATTGTTAATACACGTTTATTGAATTTCCTTTCACTTTGTAACATTCGACATTTTTATGAATTATTTTTTTAAATTTATTATATTTAAAAAATATAATGAAACAAACTGTACTTATTATTCAAGTGTAAAATCCATTTTTTTGTATATAAAATGGTAAACTTTAAGCGAAAATATTTATATTAATTATATGTTTCTTTTATCTATTATGTATACTTTGTAAAAGCTGTTTATTTTAATTATACGTAAATATTCTGTAAATACAGTTTTAATTTCACCTAGTTTCATAACAATAATATACAATATAAGTAAATAGTAAATTTACTGGCTGAAAGTTATATTTAGATTTTATTTTCAAAGGTCAGTTGTATATTTATTTATTTATTTATTAGTTTATTCATTTGTTTATATAATTTAGTTCCTCTAATTATTTTTTTCAATTTAATTAATTTCTGCTCAAATCTCACAGTTTTTATAGTGTAATATAAATAGTCGACGTGGCAATTTGTTAATATATAAATATTGTAGGAGACAAATAATTAAAACCTATTAATTCTTTAAAAATATTAAAACAAATCTTTCAACAATATTTCAACAAAACATATTATAACTAATAAATTAAATAAATTTTATAGCACATTAAATGAATATCTTAGAAATAATTACTGTCACTGGAAATACAATGTCTTTGAGTAAATATTTTATACTCATAATAGTTTCTGTGCACATTAACTTAATTTATCTTCAAACACTCTTGCACAAAATAACCTTCCACTCCCATATTTGTACTTTAATATACTTGCGTAGCTTAAAGTATCTTTTTTATTTCTTCTTTCGTAATGTTTTCAACTTATTTTTGTTAGTTCAATTTCTGCGAAAATTTATTAATATTTTATTGAATATGGACAAAATTAAGGAATAACTTGAGAACAAATTATATATAATCTATATTAAAATATTATAGTTTATTACTACAATGAATACTTTGTTCAAAATTTTTACCAATAAATATATTAAATAAATAAAATGACATGAATATTTTAGATATTTTGATTTATGAATTAATGACGAGCGGCCTTATTGAAAGTTTTGTAGTTTTTTTTATTTCCCGGAAACTTTTGTGTATTTTTCTCGGGAAAACGGGAAATATACATTTTAAAAATTGTTATTATTGAACCTAATTATGTAATTTTATTTTATAAGTAAATAAGATTTACTTAGATTTAATTGTCTAGCAATTTGCTTCCAATGTAATATTTAGCAAAATAACTTCATAGGTGTATATTTTTGAAGGATAATAGTTATAGTGTTAATGATTTTTTAAAATTAATAAGTTTTGGATAGATAAATTATAAATATAGACAAGCACTTTATTACTATTAACTAATCTCGATTCCATTAATACCAAAAATATTGCATTGTAAATAAATTTCTTTGTGTTTCTTTGCTCCATATATAAAATTGTATAGTGAAATCATGCCGAAGAGTAATTATGTAGCCACAAAACAGTATTTAATGGCAACGTCAATCACCGGAACACAATCCAGCACTTTTCATCCGTTTTTCTGTGTTTGCGTTCGGATTCGTACGCCGCAGATTTGTTCTCCTTTTTGTTTGCTTTCATTTCGTGTTTTTTTTATTTCCATCATTCACATTGAAAATTTTGTAATTTGGCGTCTTTTGTGTGAGCACGAAAACCGCAAAAAGCCGACCGCAATTATTACGCTCCACACACTATAGTTATTTGTCCGTCCTTCTCCATTGCCGTCGATGCTTTATTGAGGCTACAACAAAACGCAAGAGGTCTTCTTCCTCTTCTTAATCGCAATCCTAACGGATTCCGTTATTGCTTCTCTGACTCCTTCGCCGGTCTTGGCGGATGTGAAAAAAAGACCGCTAACCTTCATATCTTTCAGAAGCTCTGTACCGAAATTATAGGCCATCGTTGTATCCTCGATCAGATCCAATTTAGTGCCTGAAATTATAAACATGATTTTTGTTGTTTGAAGGAATTCTGATTGGATTACCTATTAGTACTATGGGTTTTTTGTATCGAGATAGTTCCTTCTTCCACTTATGTTTACAGTTCTTCGCAGAGGTGATGCAATTCAGGGCGTAGCAGACTATGAATAAGTCGGTCTGGAATTAATGTTTCAGTTGTTTTGCGTTGGTTTTAAAACAATTTATGATTACCTGTTTGTAACATAAGCTACGTATCCTCTCGTAGTCCTCTTGTCCTGCAGTATCCCACAGTTTCAAATTGATGGTTTTTCCATCTACGGTGATTTCTTCTTTGAAATCATCGAAGACCGTAGGAACGTAACTATCGAAATCTGGCTCGTGGCCAGTCGCGTAACGCATCAGAAGACATGTTTTTCCCACAACTCCATCGCCTACCACCGTGATTGACACTGATTCTGTCGTCATTACACTGCAAATCCCATCTAACTAACTTAGTCGCTTCCACTTATCAGCACCTTATCTTATCTTTTACTGAACGTTCAAGGAATTATGAAAGCAAAATAACTATGCATCATTATCCTACAGGTATTCTCGATAACTCGATAAGTAAATACTATATCACATAATAAAAACCCATGTACGCATTTGCCATTGCTCGGATTTATTAATAATACTATTAGTATTTAAAAAATTTGCTTTTTAGATTCCATCGGAAAACTGTATGCATAACCTACATTTCTCATATTCATTTATATTTCCTGAATATAGTCTCAATATAAAAATGGTGGTGCATATAATAAAAACTTTATTCAAATTTCCTGAATGTTTTAAAGATACCACAGAATATTTATGATGATATACTAAAGATTGACAACTTAATAAGTTCTGTAAAGTCTCGAGTATAATACATACATTTTGTACTCATTTAAGCTTACAAAAAAAACGATGGTTCGTATTATACTCGCATATAATCAAATTTCATTTACACATTTGCTTGTATTAATTCGCATTTGCGTAAAATTTCAAGTATAATAAAAAATATAATTGCGTATTATACTCAATTACAAATAAAATCGATATTGAATAGTGACTACTTGTTGCTTTACTACCAGGAAATTCCTGCAAATTAGCTGATTTTTTTAATCCCGATTCACGTTTTAAATCCCGGGATTATTAGTAGCGGAAAATTAACAATGAGAATGCTAAATAATATGAACATTTCAAAAGAAAACTTTATCAAACAACAGAAACGAAGACACAAACTTTTAATTTTCCTGAGAAATCCCGGAATTTTACGTTTTCTCTTTGACCTATTTTATCTGATTCTTGAATCAGACACTAAATTTGTATACTTTTAATAACATGATTAATTCATTAAAAGTTTTGTTAATATATATTTTATGCAATTTAAGATTTTTTTTGAAAATCTACGCTGCGCATTATATACAAAAATAATTTTATCGCTAATTTTTGCGTTTTGCACATACTTGGATCGGTTATGTACATACTTGCTATTGTTCAGATTCATTCTTATTTCCTTGTTGTATTTTCTGAACTTGGTCTCATCTTTTGCAGATTCCATCGAATATCTGTGAGGATATCGGGGTCATCGGGATCGAGTTCGCCTTGTCCGAGAACTTTCATTGGCGAAGAAAATGCAGCTTTGAGACTTAAGTATCTATGAAGGTAAATATCAACGTTGCAATATTTATTAATCGCTTGATAATAGCATCATAAAATACATTGTATATACAATGTATATTATTTATTGTAAATTATTATAAAAAAAATACACTTTTATAAAAAAAACAAATACATCTAATTAGTTATAGCATTCAAAAATATTTATATTTATCTTATTTCATTGTTACAGAACTTTAAAACTATTTCTTTATATTCAATATAATAAGATTGTTGCAATATTTTGATGGGAATAAGTTTTGAAACATTATTTCGCAAATGCAGAAAGGCACGATTTTCTACTTCAAAGCAATTTAGCAATATTAATATATAAAAACCTACAATCTAGGATCAATTATTTTCATAACTAAATCTACTAGAATAATAAAAATTAAAATGTTGTAATGAGAACAAAAATGCACAAAGTTTTTATATTATCAGTATGAAAATTGAAAGCTATAAAACAATTTGCTCAGCTTGCACCAGGTGTTATCGACGTTCTTCACCTTCATCGTAACCTTGGATACTTGGCTACCATTAAGACCTTTGTACGTTTTCTCTTTTACCTTTTTTCTTATGTGTCTTATTCTTGGAGAAAATGGTCTCTTATGTTTTTTTTAATAACAGGATTGATTAAATATATTTCAGTCGATAAGAGTGGAATCATTCTTCCACAAACCTCTAAAGACGCACCTGCTGCAATTTCGTTTATATTATAACTTTCTCAGGTAGTAAAACTTATATTCACAAGCATTTACATCAGATTTTTACATGATTATTATATTCATCCTTTTTTGCATAGATGAAATCTAGATGTACTCTACAGTTTTATATATAAAGAGAAGTATGGAAGTCGGGAGTCCAATATTTTTATTTCCTGCAAACTTTAGTATCATTTTCTCGGGAAAACGGGAAATATACATTTTGAAATAAAGTTTGCTCAAACAAGTTACCTAACTGGTATCTATGGTCCACGGGATACTTAATATGGCCCTCCAAGAACCAACACTTTTTTTTAATCTTAATCCTAACTACATTTTATATAGTTATTTCATTATATTTTTTTTGTTTCATTATTTAAATAAATCAAAATCAATCGATTATGCACATCCATTTTGTTAAGATTTGAGGTTTAATGCAAAATACCAGTTAAACAATTCAAAAATAATCAAGATATTTGTTATATAAATTCACAAAAAAAAGTAGTATGTAGATATATGATTATGTACATACTTTTGATTATATAATATATTGATTTACTCCTGTTATCAAAAAAATGTTCCTCATTTATAAAAATATTCTTATTAATATTTGATATTGTAAAAATACTTGTTAAAAACTATTGAAAACATAGAAATTTTAAATATAACAAAATTATATATTTTCTTTACATATATTATTTTAGCTAAACTTTAATTCGAAGACAACTTTATTAAATAAATCAATAAAAAGTCCGTCTAATGTTTGTAAAAATAATTCTATTAAGATTTGTTGTAGAAATAACAGTTGGAAAATTGAAAGTAATCAAGTAGAGAAAACAAAATCTAATCGGAACCGGAAATGTTACTATTCTTGCACGTGTCCGGTGGCCCCGAATTGCATTTTCAATTATCGGCAGTACTCCAAGAACGGATCAGTGCATATTAATAGCATTCGGAATTCTAATTTCGCGAACGGCAATTGCAAAAATAATTACCTAACGGTAATAAAAGTTAATTTGGGCGCGCGGTGCATCGAACAGTCCTTTTGGCACGTTCCGTCCAAGACTTCCCTGTTCGACCAATCACCTTGATAATCTCAATAAGAAAACACGTATTAATTTATTAGAATATTCCTCGAACGTCGCGGAACACCCGATACGAGGTGTTCGGATCGAAGTCCAGATAGAATCTCAAAGACCAAATCCGGATGGTAGACTGACATTTCAACACCTACGGGTCGTTACAGTCACCCACCTTTAGAGTTGTTGAACTGGTATTGCACATAACATTTTCGTTTATAATAACCCATAAATCTTGGTGTGTCTATCTCTAAGCGTACGTATGTTTCCATCCTCTTGAAAGAATATACGTCTGGTTCTAAACTATGTACGTACAAGTAGATCAGAGGTTTTCAAACTGTCTCTTGAAGTGAATCAAAATTATTATTAAACATCAAATATTTATTATCAAAATTTATTTATAAATATCACAAAATATTTCATCTTCAATATTGAACTTCAATACAGTATAATACGCACAATTTGAATTTATTATGAATTATTGAAAATAATATGAACAATTTTTACTCGTTTATGTACAAATTATACTTGCTTATATAAGAAAAAAAACGTTCTAAATATTGAACAAACACGCCTAGAAACATAACACTAATTAAAATCTATAATACACACGAAATTTTAAAATTAAACAATCGTATTTACAGTTGTGAAAATTTTGAGTATAATACGCACAATTTGTACTCATTTAAGGTGAGGTACGTTATGTGTAATTGTGAGAGATTAAAATCTCGAGTATAATACGCACCATTCACATAACATATTATTGTCGCATTCTAAAAGATATATTTCATCTTCAATATTGAACTTCAATACAGACAGTTGTTAAAATATCGAGTATATTACGCACATTTTTTTCTTATTTAAGTTCTAAATGTTACAAAATTGTACGTATAACTCTGAGAGAAATGAATAACTCGAGTATAATACGCACATTTTTTTCTCATTTAAGTTGTAGGTGCGTATTATACATGCAAATACAAGGAAACTGTTTTCTAAATGTTGCAAAATCGTAGGTATAACCTTGAGAGAAATTAATATCTCGAGTATAATACGCACATTTTTTCTCATTTAAGTTCCAGGTGTGTTTTATACTTGCAAAAACAAGAAAAAGGTTTTCTAAATATTGAAAAATCGTACGTACAACTCTGAGACAAAAATATTATCGCACAATTTGTACTCATTTAAGATCGGTGTGCACATTATAATAGTTTTATCAGAATACGTTTTATCAAAAATGTATATTCTCGCTCAATGAGTCTTTTTTAAGATCTGGAAGTATATTGGAAAAATATTATCATTATTTATATTAATAAATGATTCTACTTAAAATTTCCTTTTTTTACTTTTCATTAATATTTTAAGTATTTTTAATAAAGATGCAGTTTAAAATAAAATTATGAAACGTTATGTTAAATTTTAATTTGAATAAAAACCTTCGAGCTAAATCAAGCATGCGTAAACAAGTTTGCATATTTAAGTAAAGCTATACCTCGCATAGTGCGACTTAAATCAGGGTTTTGTTGAATGAATTAAGATTATATACTTTGTATAATAATCTTGCCTTTACACGCAATGATTTTTTTTGGATGATATTGTTTTTATAAAACAAAATATAATTTTAAGGATTTAACGAGTCGACAAAGTTTGAAAACCACTGCAATAATATATATGTATTTGGAACAACTTTTCTTTCTCTCTTACGATATTTCGTATGCCTTTTTGTACCTTCCATTTTCTTTTTGGCGAACCGTTTGAATGCTAATCCGGAACGGTTAATGCATTCCGATCTGCTCCCTTTCCTCTTTCCCTGTAATCTCAATAGCTGCATTTGGTTTCTTTGCCATGAAGGCCCGAGGCGACCATCGCCACACTCAATTAACGATTCACTCCTCGATGAGCTTTAATTTTGCATCGACGTTGAGTTTGATGATCAAGAAAGGTGGTGATCCGCACTCAATATTCCCATCCATCTCTTCGATCCGTTGTAGCTATATATATGTAACATTAATCACGGCTATACCACCTATATAAAACTGGTATTTCCGGATACGAAGTAATATTTAGATCAATAGCCGCAGCGATGATAGATTTAAATCACGCCCATGAATAATCCACACAACCGGACCAAAACAAACTCTACTTTCTGAGAACACTCGGATCACGAGAAAATGCAGCTTTCTTGATCACTTTTTTTCGCAAGGTTAACAATCACTTATTACATTGTTTATTTATATCGAGAATGTATAAACATAAGCTAAATATTCAGCGGAAAATATAAATTCCGGAAACTAATTTTTGTACGTTTTTAAAGGTACTACCAAAAATTATAAAAGATACAAAAAAAGCCCGTTTAGTTCTTAGAATAACACTAAATACGTCAGTCTACAATAACAAATAGATAGATTTTGAGCTTTTTTAGGCTTTAAGTTGAACTCATTATACAGTTAGTAGACAAGCTTTTAAGGAGGTTTTCTTGTACCATTACAAAAAACATTTTTTTTCAAACAATAATTAATAGTGCAAATAATTGCTTATTGCTTTCTGTACTTCCTTTGTTTTTTTATTGTTGTTTTCCCGTATTTATATGATTTATTTTTATTTATTTAAAATCCTGCTAAACTTGCATAATTTTCTTTTCAATATTTTTTTATTTAATAGTTGTTGCCATATTTTTTTATCTTTAATATATGTAAATATTAACTTTACTCGAATGTAAAAAAATATAAAATCTATTTTATATAGTGCAACTAAAAATATATGTTTGTGCAGAATTTAAATTGATGTTAAAACTCAGATTAATATTGAAAATTATAGGTATTTACACTAAAATGGACATATGAAGTATAATACATATATGCACCATATTTAGTATAATTTTATGAATATATAAATATATGTAAATTATTATATAGAAAGCTTCTGCAGAAAATTGAAATTTACAAAACAATCCCTGCGGCAACTATATATTTAATACATAGTGATATAATATACAAACTTATAATAAGTTAATGCTGTCCAGAATTCTAATTTGTATATTTTTGCAACATTTTTTTTTTGGAAATGCATATTATTACATTAAAAATCGCTGTCTTCGAAGAAAACTTTTAACACAACAAAATATAGCTTATTTTCTTACTTTTTTTGTTGAGGATAACAATATACTATTACACTGTTTATTTATAGTTAAACTATCTAAACACACGCTAGAAATTCAGTAGAATATAAA